GAAAATAGAAAGTGGTAAACTTTATCCAAGTAAAGAAATCCCTGAAAACCAGAATACATCTAGCAGATATCAGTGAGACAGAAAGAAATACTCAAAGAAGAGTAAAACATCAGAAAAAAATGGAAGATATTTGATATCAAAAACAAGCGATCTGGAAAAAAAAAAGCCAAAGAAATAAAATTTAAGGATCACTGAACTTTCTGAAAACCATGATTTTTTTTTTTTATTACAAGTCTGGATACTATATTTCAAGAAATCATAAATGAGGGGCAGCTAGGTGGCGTAGTGGATAGAGTGCCGGTCCTGAAGTCAGGAGGACCTAAATTCAAATCCAGAAATCCGGCCTCAGACCAAACACTTTACACTTATTAGCTGGTTGTTTCTGGGCAAACCACTTAACCCCAATTGCCCAAAAAAACCCAAAAAAACCCCAAAAAAAACAAAAAAAAAACAAATCATAAATGAAAACTGCCCAGATCAATTAGAACCAGAATGCTAAGTAAAGACACAAAAAAATAACATGGATTATCTCCTGAAGGGGGGAAAAAAAAACTTTCAGTCAAGATGGTTGCCTAAATAGGAGACAGGCCAACCAATTCCATATACCCACTCAAGAAAAACCCTGAAGTTCCCATCAAACAAAATAATGATTAAGAAAACCTATGAAAACTACAATGATATATTCTACCCCATAACTACACAGAAAGCAAGCCAGTCTCCCCAAGACCAAAGAAGAGATCTGTAGCCCACAACACTCTAAGGCAGCAAGCATGAAGGACTCCCCCAATACAGCATTAAGGTGCTCAGAAAGCTGAACAGCAGTTAGAAAGCAACAAGGTGGTCAGCACCAAGCTCAGAGCTGTGTAACACCTAAACTCCCAGGTTCAAGGCTTCCCCTAACATTCCCTTGCAAAGATACCAAGGACTCTGAAGACCAGAATTCTGAACTTCAAAGATCCAAGTAGCCCACGCCCCAAGAGGAAAAGGCCAGCACAAGGATCCAGAGCAAGATGAAATAGGGATGACTGTCCTACACAAGAGGACGGGACGGGACAGGACGACCTAGCCTTGGCATATAAGTTTCAGTTCAGAAATAAAAGTCTCAGATGAGTGAATAAAATATGAACTAGTACTTAAAAAAAAAAAGGTTGTTAATCTAACTAGATGACGACTGTAAACAAATTCAAAGGGAAAAATCATTTTTTACCAGGGCTACATGAATACCAAGAAGAAAATGAAATTTTAAAAAAACAAAAGATCTAAAGGAAAAAATTAGTAGACTAAGTAGCTTAGAAAAGAAAGTGAGGTCAATTTTAACCAAAAATAGTGTCCCTAAAATACTGTAATAAACCAAACAGAAATTAATGACTCCAGGAAACAGCAAGAAATAACAGAACAAAATCAAGACTGGAAAAAAAAAAAAGTAAGATGTCAGATATCATAAAACAACTGTCCTGGAAAACAGATCAAGGAGAGAGAATTTTAAAATCATTGGATTACCTAAAAACCAAGGTTTTTAAAAAAATTACAACACTACATTTTTAAAAATTATAAGTGAAACTGCCCAGATCTATTAGAATCAGAACATATAGAAAGAATTTCCTGAAAGGTAACCTAAAATTCTCAGAAATACCAGCCAAAATCCTAAACTCCCATATCAAGGGGAAAAAATCACTTCAAGCACTCAGAAACAAGCAATTCAAATGCCAAAGATCTACAAAGATCAGCATCACAGAAGATGTAGCAGCTTCTATTAAAAACCAGAGGAGATCTTGGAGTACAATATTCCAAAAAAAGCAAATGAGATAGGTTTGCAACCAAGAATAACTTACTCTGCATAGCTGAGTATAATCTTATGGGGGGAAATGGAATTTTAACAGACTTTAAAAGCATTTCTACTGAAAAAATAAGAGCTGAGAGTAAGACTTTTGAAATATAAACACAAGAGTCCAGAGAAAGGTAAGATGTAATGCTAATATTCAGATGATTTTCAAAGGGTAATGAGGGCATTAAATAAGAAAAACAGAAGTCCTAGGGGTGATATGGTTGTGTTCTAGCGATTTGAAAAGGGAAAAAGAAAGGAACGGAGATGTAGAAATATAATATCATAGAAAGGAGGTGGAACTTGTTAATTTTTACAATTAAGGTAAACAAGACAAATATGAGGTGGCAGAGGAAATAGATATCAAATGGACCTCACTTATCTGAAATGGGTAAAAAAAAAAGTTAAGCGAACACACACACACACACACACACACACACACACACACACAGAATTAGGTACAGAAATATATCAAATTCAATAGGAAAACAAGTATGGGACAAGTAGCTGGGACTAAGAGGGAGGAAAATACTGGGAGAGAATAGCCGCAAATAAAACAAGCGTACTGATCCTGAATGAGGGATGGGGGATGGAAGAAGGGCATGGGAGGAGATGAAGAAGAACCAGATTATAATGGAATTCCTATCAAATGAAGAATAACTGAACAAACTGCAGTAAATGAATGGGATATTATTGTGTCAAAAGAAATGATGACAGATGATGTCAGCAAATTCTGGGTAGTATGAACTGATGCAGAATGAAGTGAGCAGAAACAATTTGCACAAGGACAACAACATTGTAAGCAAAACAACTTCGAAAGACTTAAGAACTCCGTTCAATGCAATAACTAACCATCTCTCCAGAGGATCTATGATGACGCAGGTTGCCCTCTTCCTGACAGAAAGGTGATAAGCATAAGGTGCAGAAAGAGGTATATATCTCTGTATTCGGCCACTGTGTAGATTCATTTTGTTTGATTATACTAAATTATTACAAGGGTTTTTTCTCTTTCATTCACCCAACTTTTAATTGGAGGAAGGGATTTTGGAAAAAGGGTACTCAGTAATAGTGATGCCCTCCCCCAAAGGCTCATTATAAACATTTTTTACAATGCACAGAAGAGAACAGAAGGAAGTTCAGAAGGAAGCACAGACAAGCAGGACAGTTTTGAAAGTAACGTGTGGAATTTATTATATACTTTTTTTTTTAAAGCAAGCTGTATGAAATGGAGATTCACGGTTTCATATACAATCCTCTTTTCATGTTTTGCTGTCTATATTGAAATGCTCTTTTGGGGGTGTTTAAATTCAGAATAAAAAAATAAAATTATTTTTTAAAAAAATCTAATGGTAGATTGTCACAGTGGGGGCTCCCACACAGATGATATCCCTGAATCCTAACTTAGATAATTCATAGCAGGAACAATCAGCAGCAGCTGGATCACAGGATCAGGGCAGCAGTGAAGAGAGGCACATCATGAAGCTGCGGTGATATTTCCCTGTCCTGATATGATCACAGGTTGGGCCAGAAGTAGATGTCATTTAGAAGCAGCATCAAGGAAGAAAGTGCTACAGAAGAAAATCCATTTTGTCAGTCTTACTGACAATTGTGACAGCATTCACTCACCTGATTCCCGGTTTTTTATTATTCAAAGTATTTTTAAGCTTATCACTAGTCAATAGTTAAGTATCAATCTACAAAGCTATATTTTCAATATGTAAGAAATATGTACACAAATTCTAATCTAGAAATACATAATTTGAATTAAAATGGAATTACAAAGTTAAGCAAAAATCTGGGGGGAAAACCTTTTTATAGTAATTTCATTCTTGTCCTAAGTGCTTCAGGTAGCAACATTCATAAAAGGGTAATAATACACGTTTAATTTTTTTAAATAGGGTAAGGAAAGAGAAGAGGAAGGTGAAAAAGAGGAAAAGGTCAAAGGGAGAAAAATATATCCATCCAGCTTATTATTCTTGGACTTATTTTTATTCATGTTTGATGTAAATATAAACTTCTCATAATTACAATATATATATATATATAGTATGTACGCTCTGCCCTGAGATCTATAATACATAGCAACACTAGGTTGATACTATTGCATTAATCTTTAATATCCAAAGATAATAACTTATGATTTCATAATTTTACTTTAGAGTACAAGAAAAGTATTCTGATAAACCACATGTTGCTCAGGGATATATCTGAACAAAGGCTTTCACATACTAATGTAAACACTTGGAAATAAGACTACGTTTCAGAGCTGGACACTGAAATGTCAACAATTTTAGCTCTGGTAACATGTACAAAAAAAACCTCAGTATCCTTGAATTACAAGAAATTTTGCTTATTTAAAATGAAGATTAACAGAATTTTGAAGTGATATACCTGCTGAAATAGAATACAGACCTGACTACTGAAACTTAAAGTATTTCAGACTACAGTACAACCCAAAGAAAGGTCTTATGGATTAATACTATTTTCTAATGGTCTAAAGCCATACACAGTGGTATACACCAAAATAAAATGAATATCATCCAATTCATGGTAAATTTTGCTGGTTTGTATAAACACTGAAGTTATACAAATCTACCGAGAACCCTGTGATAAAAGTAATATTTTCCCTAAGGCAAGTGGCATTCTGAAATACAAGATCCCCTTATCCATGGAGAATAAGTTCTACAGATTCTCAAGAATAAATCCTTGAAATTTTTATACATACATATATGTATGTGTCTGTATACACACAGACACACACATATGGCAAGTAGAAAACTGTGATCTATACATAGAAATATCTATGGATACAGAAATATATCTATCATAGTTTTCTACTTGCTCTCCTAAAGCTCAATCTTTTCCATAGAATTTTCATTTCTTGTGATTGGATAAAGGATAAAGCCTCAATTAGGTGCTAATCATGTTCTGAACACCTGCCAATCTTCCTTTTAATAGAGCGGGTGATATTGCACACCAGCCAGTAAGAGGAACGGGCTGTAGTGGCAGGACGTAGTAAGGCCATCACATATTTGAAACAGCCAATCCTAAATCAGCAAATCAGGAAGGTTTCTTGAATAGTTAAGGAATTCTGCATGGAAAGGACAAATGTTAGGCCTGTCACAAAGTGCTGTGGCTTAAAAGGCATAAAATGAAAATCAGGTACTTAGGCATATACCTCTGCAGTGGTGTCACTTTGTTCTTATTCTTGTCAACGGAACCCGTAGATAGCTGAAGAAAATTGGGGTTTAATTTATATAATTCTTGAAGTAGCTTCTGTTCATATTCTTGGTGTTTACCCGCCTGGTGGAAAAAGAAAATAAAACTGCAATGGCATTCATATATTAGCTGCTATGAAATACTCCATCTCTCCCTTGGAAGCTTAAAGACACCAATAATACAAAATGAAAAGGATTCTTCCAACCAAAGATAAACTGACAAACTTTCTAGATTAAGGCAATCTCTCTCCTATTAAACATACATGGTATATGGCAAAAAGGCACAACAAAGGAAATATTTATTTGGAAAGCATTTGGTATATAGTAAATAACTTTAAGACTTAACAAAACCAAATCTAAGCATTGGTTAATTAAAGTTCTTTAAGGTAAGAACAAATGGTATTCTCCAACAGCCTAATTATTTAACATTTTTTTCAGATATTTAAAGAGCTTTATTTAGCATCAAGGTAATGCAAAATGAAGTAAAATTTCATCAAATCACACTTCATCCTCTCATCTGCCCTGTCTCAGTCACCAAATCACAAATAAAAATCATTTTAAATTCAGTTTCAGATAGCACGATTAAATTCTCCGAGAAAGCACAAAACTTGGGAGTAGGAGAGGGAGGTGTAGAGCACAAGGAGAAGAGAAAATATGCAGAGAATTTAACTAAGACAATTAGAGACAAATAGTAAAAGTTCATAGTACTCATTTTACTATTTGTATACACAGCCTGTCTGGAAATGCACACAATATATAAATATTTTCTGCAAAGTTAATTACTGCTTACTTTTGTTCAGCCTGACAATGGCATGCTCTACTAAATAACTGAGCAAAAACTAAAGAAAGGTAATGCCATTTACTTGAGCACAATTATATATATATTTTTTGCAATGTCATTCTCTTTTCTGAGGTCCCTTAAGTCACACATATATAACACTTCACATTTTTTTACCTACTCTACTTAGAATAAAATATTGAATTTCCTATCAAGAGATAAAGAAAAAGTTCTTCCAATCTTTGTTATGATAATTATATATGAGGAAAAACACTTCTGTATTTATATTTGTACTACTTCTAAACAGGTTAAGAAGGCTCTGATGAACTAAGACTGACTCTTTAAAGCATTCACTGTTTCTAGTGGTACAAACTCTAAAAGGTTTAAAGGCTGAGAGAATTCTCCAATCACAAGGAAAATTATTCCATACACTTCCTTTAAATGGTTATCGAAAATTGGTTATCAAAAGACCTTAACACAGACAACCCATATAATACACGTTAAATCTCATTACTACAAGGAAGTGACCAAAATACGATGTTTTCCAAAAATGTTTCAAATAAGCAAATTAGCTGAATCCATTTGGTATACTTATATTATGATGCAAAATAAAGATGAGAGTGGGTCTTCTTTGGTGCCACCCAAGACAACTTTGCCCAGGACTCGTTTTGATATTGCTTCTAGATCCCAAAGAAAATATAATAAGGAGATTGTACTATATTTTTTTTATAAAGGGATTTAAACTATAGCAATTCCAAAGTCAAAGAAAGTAAAATTTTCCCAATGAAAATTAGCAATGCACTCTTCAATCTAATTAGACTTGCTCTAGGTTGATGTGAAGAATGAAAGGTAGCAATGAATGCCCCCCACCTTCTAAAAGAGAAGTATTCCTGCAAAAGTCCACAGCCACAAATCTGAAGTCCTCATCTACAATAGGGAAGTACAGCATTATATTTTGGTATAATCCTCATGTAATATGATGTCTTTTCAACATTTTCACTTCTAAAGAATATTTATACTATAAATTGAAAGGAGACAGGAGAGGAGGAAAAGTGAAAGAACATAGGACATTAAGCATTCAATTCACTTTTTCATAGGATAATAATTCAATGAACACTTGAAGAGAGCATACCTCTCTAAAACATCATTTCCCTATCTGGATGGGATATATTTTCTAGGACACCATGTAAAAAATGCAGATAAGAAAAAACCCAACTAATGGGCATGACATCCTATTCAGATTACATTTTGCTGACAACATTACTCTCAACATATCTTTTTTTTAAAAAAGCTTTCCACTTTTGAAGGAAATCATTTAACAAAAATAAAAACTAAATCTTGCTCTCTCTGCAAAGCTCGCAATTCATACTGCTTTACTACCTGCATTTCCTCTTTTGTGAAGCTAGCTGCTTCATCCCCCAATTCATGTAGATACATGCAGTCAGGTTTTGGACACTGCATATTCTTTAGGAAGTAACTGCAGTATTTTGTTGTACCTAGAGAAGCCTGCCAGAAAAAAAAAAGAAAAACATTTGAAGATAACAAAAATATTACTTGCCTTCAAGAAGGACAATAATGCAAGTTAAGAAACATATGTCATTATATGATATTTCAGAAAGTATTCCATAAGAAATCTGTTTTGAGAGAGAAATGATGAACTCAAGTGCAAACTGAAGCATAATTTTCTTACTTTTTATTTTTCTTTTTTTGGAAATATGGCTAGTATTGACATTTGTTTTGCACGTTTTCACATGTATAATTGATATATTGCTAGCCCTTTCAGTAGGTGGGGGAAAGGGTAGGAGGGTGGGAGAAAATGTGGAACTCAAAATTTAAAAAGAAAAGAATGTTAAAAATAAATAATTTTGGGGGTGGTAGGAATGGAGGTCTGGTTTACATTTATTCTAACAAAAAAGTCTCCTGCAGAAATGAGCAATTGCCTAAGTAGATTAACCTTGTCAGACACTAACATTAATGAATTACAACCTACACATTGCCTTGAAACTTGATATAATAAAATCTGTCCAGTAAATGAACTATATTTTGACCAAAAAAAAAAAAAATAGATCATCAAAAAGAAATTATATTACCTTGAGTGTTCTGCCATCTACTACTACGTTGTTGACACACTGTATGGCTCTGAGAGCATCTTCTGACCGGATGTAGGTAACATAAGCACTGGCGCTTGGACCCTAAAGTGAAAACATCCCATCCCACTGTCATAAATACTAAAACAAGGCAATAACAAAAAGCTTCTATTACAATAATGATGAAGAATATAGAACAATGTTATCCCAACAACTTTTAATAATGAATGTGATTTTCAGCCAAAAGAAAGCAAAGAGCCCATTTGAAAGCAAACCTACAAGAAGTTAGGAGGGTCAGAAACTCTGAATTCTTAGCTTTCTAGTTCAACCCCTTAATTTTACAGATGAGTAACCCAAAGCTAGAAAAATTAAATGACCTACCTAAGGCCACACCAGAAGCAAAGTTAGGATCTGAACCCAGAGCTCTCAATTTCAACACATTACCTTTTCTATTTAATGTAATATGCCTACCTTTAACTAGACTATGATCTATATAGGAATCTGAGATAATAGCATTTGATCTGGAAAAAATAAATTAAGGTCACAGGTCTTAATTTTTTAAGTTTTACATAAAATTTTCAAATATAGTTAAAACTCCTCTTATAATCCAGCAAATTTCACATGGTTTTGACTGTAATTTCCAACCTTCCTTCACCCCATATAATCACATAAAATAAAAATAGATAAGGCATGGTCTTACCTCAAAGATGAGAATTAAAGTTATCTGTCCTAATACCAATACCATTAAAATGATTTTATTAAAATTTCAATGTTTGAAGACTGTGCCACTTGGAAGAAGCAGTCTAAGCTAATTTCAATAAAAAGATTAAATTCCCATCTCTACATCTTTTTCTCATAATCTTGGTTATTAGTCAATTGAACAGGAAATCCTTGGGTGTGGGTCCCATTAAGATACAAATAATTTCCTTTGGGACACCAATAGAGGGTGCTATTCAACTCTTAACCACAAGATCCATTTATTCCAAACTATTAAAGCAAAAAAGAAATAAATTTTAATAATGAACTACCTCCTTTTGAAAACTGAATGACTAAGAGTCTATGTTAGGACAAAGGTTTAAGCAAAAAAAAAAAAAGAAAGAAAGAAAGAAAAGAAAAAGAAAAAAAAAGTAAAGATCTCTACAGTTAGTTACCTGTGAGCCTGCATATGATGTGCTATTATTGATGACAACTTTATGTATTTTACCAAACTTCCCAAAATATTCTGGCCGCTTTAAAACCTACAACAGAAAAAGAAGACACAAACGGTGCCTGTTTTTTAGAAATTCATCCTTACAAAAAAGGAAATAAAAATAAAATGTGAATTTTCTCCACTCTTAAAATAAAAGTTAACGTGTACTACAATGTTTAAATCAAATATTGTCAAACTCAAATTACACGTATATCAATTATCCAAAGTGATTATTATAAAAATCATGTGGAAAAATTGCTGTTGGGAAGGGAGGGTAGCCTTAAAAAAAAGTGGAGATTACTTAAATACTTACTATCTGGTAAGTATAAACATAAATCTCAGGACAAAAGGCATCCAGCAAGTTAAACTGATACGTTAAAGGTCATGTGTTCACCTTATAATAAGCCTGCCCACGCGCCAACAGGACAATGTAGTATAGTGAAGGTGGTATCATAAGACCTATCCAGACTTTACTTTATTCCTTGGACGTCTCTTCAACAGCTACTTTGCTATAATGAACCCCACCCCCAATAAAGCACACCACACACTCACACTCTAACAGTCTTTGTTTAATGATCTCCAGCAAGAAAGAATGAGCTACCTCCAGAGAAATCCATTCTATTTTTTGATAGTTCTGTTAGGAATTTTTCCCTTACAAGCCTAAATCTGTCTGTGGCAAGATCAACTTCTGCAATGCCTTCATAAGGTATAATTTTTGTAGTTATGTACCCACCCCCCTTCTTATACATACAAGGGTATGGTTTTCCTTCTTAAAATTTGGCAAATCTAAGTGCTATCAAACACTTTGAGGACTATAAATGAAATAATACTGTTTGACATAGCATATATAAATACATATGCAAATGTATAAATAGTTATATGAATAATAAGGATATAATAATATTATATACATATAATATCATATGAATAAGCTATATAAATAATAATCCCTTGCTAGGATCTTTGTATATGGGGATTTTATTACCCCTAACCTATGAAATCCGAGTTAACATTTCACATGGAAAACCACAAAGGGAATAGGGTAGCTAGGTGGCACAGTGGATAGAGCAAAGGCCCTAAAGTCAGGAGGACCCAAGTTCAAATCTGGCCTCAGACACTTGACATTTTCTAGCTGTGTGACCCTGATCAAGTCACTTACCCCCAACCACCTTGTCAACAACAATTAAAAAAAAATAACAAAGGGAAAACACACTTACAACACACACACACACACACACACACACACATGCCTCTGTAAGGTGTCTGATTCCTTCCTTAAGAGCAATATAAGTTCATTCTCCTCATTTGCTAAAAAACTAGTATGTATGCCATTGGTATTAATTGTCCCATGCTTTTTTGTTTTCATACCTAAAGCTAGTTGAAAAGATCTCCCCTCTTTTTGGAATAACTTCATAGGTTTGTCTATCTGGGCCCAAAAGGCCTCATAGCCTATGGCATCTCAGATAAAAACTTACATTTCCCTCTCGTTAGCTAACCTGGGGGAACATTCCACTTTCATTCTCTACTTCTCCCTCAATTAATTACTGCACTCAAAAGATCCCAAAGTACAAATCTAGGATCAAAAGTAGTAGATCACACGTTGTTCCACCAAACACCATCTTGGAATTTTAGAAAAAGAGGTAGAGCATCTCTATATATTTTTCCTAATACAAAAAAAGTGGGGAGCTATCTTTGGAGCGGACATATCACCATCTCAATTCAGACATGGATTTAAAGAACTGCAGCAATCTGTTCCCATCTCTACCCTTCCTGAGGCCTCAGCTAGACATAGAAAATACCCTTAAGTAAATCATTTTTTAAGATATCTATCACATACAAATGGGTTTTCCATTCTTGTCTCTAGGATGGATGCAGATTTACCACATTGATAATCACTCATGTGAAGAACCATTTGTTGTGAAACTAAGGGAACTAAAATGAATAAGAGAAACTGATCAAGTATTGTCACTTTTAACTTCATCAAACCGAAGAAAATTCTCGCTCCAAACGCTGCAATAAGAAGCCCTAATTTACTGTCTCTCTGCAAGTTACAACAAATAATCCTAGTTCCAGAAAACAAATCTAATGTCTCTGCCACAAGGACAGTTATTACTGTCCCTCAAGTCTTCTCTACCTCAAGCTAAACATCAGTCCTTTTTGCCAATCCTCTCTCTCTGGGAAGGATCTGAATCCCTTCGCCATACTGGTAGCTTTCTTCTGGATTCTTTTCAACTCATTATTTCTTTCTTTCTTTTTTTTTAATTGAGGCAGTTGCGGTTAAGTGACTTGCCCAGAGTCACACAGCTAGGAAGTTTTATGTGTCTGAGGCCAGATTTGAACTCAGGTCCTCCTGACTCCAGGGCCAGTGCTCCATCCACTATGCCCCCTATTAATATCTTTCTTAAAACGTCATGTCCAAATCAATACAATTGTTTAACTAGAACAAAGTACAGAAGGGTAATTCTTACTTCCATGGTCCTCCAATTTCAAGGTGCTACAGGATTTTTAAAATAATAATAATAGCAGCTAACATTTATTGTATTTACTATGTGCCAGGCAGTGTGCTAAGCAATTTACAAATATCATCTCATTCGATTCTTACAACAACCTTGGGAAATGGGGACCATTATTATCCCCATTTTATAGATGAGAAAACTGAGGCAAATAGAGGTTAAGTGACTTGCCCAGTGCCACACAGCTAGTAAATGTCTGAGGCTAGGTTTGAACTCAGGTCTTCCTCTGCGCCTGCCAGCACTCTATCCACTATCCACCCATGAGGGTAAAAGAACTAAGCAAACTATGTCAGGGGTAGAGGGGCAAAGTGCTAAAGGTTCTTTCTTTGGGCTTTATCCTTAACAGTAAAATAAGAAAGGAAGCAATAAGAGGGACAATTCGATAGGGAATCTTATTTCTTCATCTTTTTTTTTATCTTCCCTACTATTAACAGGTAGAATATGGAATAAAAATGAATGATGACCCCAAATACATTCAATATTGAAAAGCTACAACTTATAAGTAGGTTCATATAATTGAAATGCTGCTATTAATTAGCATATTAATTCTGGCTAGAGAAAAATAAGGAGGTAGAGCACAGGAGCAGAGGAGGAAAGTGGTACCATGTTACATTTTCCTTGAAAAGGTAGTTAGGGGAAAAGCTGGATTCTTTGTGATTTAATCAGGTTCTCTATCAATTAAATTATCAATTAATTATCAATTACCTGTTTATTAAATACATATCTAAACAACTATGGGCATTCCAATAGTTGTGTAGGGTTGAGTGTTAATTCCATGATTAAGAAATGAGTCTGGGGAGGAAAGGCCTACAAATTGCTTACCTCTGGGTCTGCGAGACGCTGGGAGAGTCCTACCACAAAAACGAGATTCTTTTGTACAACTCGTACACTGGCCAAGTGTTTGCGATTCTCTGATATCTTCTGTTTCCTTTCATTCTGCTTCTGTTTTTTCTCGTTCTTTATCCTTTGCAGTTCTTCTTGGGAGAGTGGTTTATATACTGCTGGGTCCTCTGGATATGGCTTTAATCGTGATACAAACATGGTGGTTAACACAAATGCAACTTTGAACTGGATAAAGTTAAGGAGCCAATTTGTTTACTTAATTTTCAAAAAACTATTTCTGGAGCTGACTGGACAGACAGCACTTTTAACTTATCTATCAGAAAAATCCACCTCTGATATTCTCAGGCAATTTACTTTGATCCACACTTAAAGCAAAAAAGTTTAAAAGAAATAGGAACCCGATCTCTTTAATCTGCAAGACTGCATTGTTACAGCTTTTAAGGTCATTAAGAACAGAATTACAGGACCCCTGTTTAAATACTTTAACGGATTTATATTCTATGTATTCCATCACCAACATGATCAAGAAGAAGGGGTAAGTTATCAATCCATACTTCTAATGGTTGGTAGGGCTAGCAATGGTCAGCAGGTTGGCCAGCTTGCCATTAGTTTTATGACCTTGGGCAAGTCACTTAACTTGTCTAAGACTCTGGTTTCTTCAGCTCTAAAAGGGGTTTGGTCTAGATGATACCTTAAATTCCTTTCAGCTCTAATGAAAAAGTAGGAGATGAATAAAAGCATTTCTTAAGCACACACTAGGTCCTACTATGTGTCAGTTATTCAGCTAGGTACTATGGATACAAACATAAAAATTCGAGTCCCTCTACTGGAGGGATATATATTCAAAGTAAATGGAGGGTATATACAAAATAAAATACAGAGTGGTAGGTGTAGGGGAAGGGGACAGAAGTAAGCTCTGAGAGGAGTCAATTAAGATGGGAGATCATTCCAGGCACGGTGAACAGAGATAGGACATTGGAATATCATATGCAGGGAATGTCAAGTAGGCCAGTCTGGCAAAATCAGTCAACAAACATTTATTAGTTCCCTACTATGCGCAGCCCCTGTGCTAAGCACAGACTGGGGGGGGGGGGATAGGACAGGACACTAAAGGTAAAGAGAGCATATGTCAGATGTTACAAAGGTAAAATTAGGAGGACTTAAAAACAGGTAGGATATAGGGGAAGAGGAAAAAGTGTTAAGTCAAAGATGACACTTGAGTTGCAAGCCCAAATGGATGGGAAGATGGTGGTGTCCTATATAGTAAGAGGGAAAGAGGAAAGTTTGGAAAGGGGGAGAACTGGGGGACTGGGGAGGAAGAGATAATTAGTTCAGTTTTGGATATGCTAAATTTAAAACGTCTGCTGGACAACCAGTTAAAGATGTTCAACAGACAGGTGTAGATATAATACTGGAGGTCAGCAGAGACATTGGGGCTGAATAAATGTATATGAGAATCACCAGTATACAGATAATAATTAAATCCATGGCAGCTAAAGAGATCACCAAGTGAAATAACATAGAGGGAGGAAAGAACTCTTTGAGACAACCATGGTTAATGAGTATGACCTAAACAAAGATCCAGTCAAAGAGGTTGAAGTTGGTAGGAAGAGAACCAGGAGAGAATGAGCAATATGAAAAGCTAGAGAGAAGAGAGTATCAAGAAGAGGGTGACTGACAGTGTTAAAAGCTGCAGAGAGGACAAGAAGGCTGAAGATTAAGTCAGAAGCCTAACTGTAGAAAACAGACTGCATGTGAGAGAGGAGTCGCATAAAATCAATCAGTAATGACAAGTTCAAGCCACATTGTAAAGAGCTTTAAATGCCAAACAAAAATGGTGGTATTCTATCCTACAGGCACAGAGTCACTGAAGCTTCTTGAAAAAGGGAAGTGACATGGTCAGATCCACGTTTTAGCCATATCAATTTGACAGCTGTGTGGAAGACAAATAAAGTAGAGACTAGATACAAGATCTATTAGAAAGATACTGCAATAGTCCAGGAGAGGTTATGACAGCTTAGATGGGTGATTGTGGGGTAACAGAGAGAAGGTGATGGAGTCAATCAATGTTGAAGAGGTGGCACTCACATGATTTAGGAAATTATTATAAATTAGCTGACAATTAAGAGTCAAGCATGACTCCAAGATTAAGAACCTAAGTGACCAGATAAGTAGTAGTTCTAGAAAAAGAAATAGGGAAGTTAGAAGGGGAGACAGGCAAAAAGTAATGAGTTCTGTACTGGCCACATTGAGTTTGAAATGCTTATGGGATATCCAGGGAGAGATGTTTAACAGCAAACTGTATATGCAGATCCAGAACTCAAGATAGATAAGGGATAGTAGCTATGTAGATTTGGTAGTCACAGGAATAGAAAGAACAACTGAATCCTTGGGAGCTGAGGAGATCACCAAGAAAAAGCATAAAGAGACAAAATGAAAAGGACCAGGACCAAGTACTTGCATACATCCACAAAAACTTGGAGTGGGAAGAGGAGATGGCAAGATATAGACAATGGTAATATAAAGAAGACCAAAAATTAGTAGTCAGGTCTGAAAAGAGCCACAACAAAGCAGTGTCACAAAAACCCAGGGAGGACAGAATATCCAGAAGGTGGCAAACACTGCAGACAGGTAAAAGAAGATGAGGACTGAGAAAAAGTCATTGGACAAAATAAAGAGAACATTGGTGACTTTGGAGAGAGAAGTTTCAGTTGAGAGGCAGAGTTAGAAACCAGAATATAAGAGGTTGAAAAGTACATAGGAGGTGAGAAAGAGAAAGCAAGCAAACAGCCTTTTCTATTTGGGATTGAAAGGGAAGTTAGATAAGACAATGGTTTGAGGAGATGGTAGGATCAAATAAAGGTTAAGAAAGAAATTTTTTGGAAGAACATTACTGCAGCAAGATCTGAAACTGCACATAAAGGGACACAGTGGCAATAGAAACAGTAATTAGATGAAAATGGGGGGACACCTCCTAGAAGACATGGAGACTTAGTAGGAGGCATCAACATGAGAAAGAACAGGCTACATTTATTTGGGGGATAGTGACTGTAACTTAGCTTTGATAAAAGATATCATCTAAGCATCCCAACATGGTCAACGTTGCAAGTGTTTTCCAACTATTAACCAATTTTTTATCCAACGCTACAAGAAACCTGTTTTGACCAATGCTGTATGTCAAAGGAGACATTTTACTTTTCTTCTTGCTTCTCTTCTGCAGGTTTTATTAACTAAGCCTGCCTTTCCCTTACCCTTTCCCCTATCATTCTCTTCAATTTTTACCCATTTCTTTGCTCTTTTGTAGAATTACTTTCACTTTCTTTCACAGCCAACTCAACTCTATCAAAAACAAACTGGAATGGGCTGCTTTAGAAAACTCAGCAAAATTCTTGATCCAACAAAAGTTATTTTAAAAGCATAAATTCTTCTCATTTTCTAAAATTGGTCTAGGTTTTCTAATCCAATGGTCCTCCTTAGTATGCTCCTGGAAGGAGCCAAAATCAGCCCCTAGAGTGGGAGGCATGTAAATCAGGTTTCTTAGGTAACTAGCATAACCTTTGCAAAATTTTCCAGGGTCATACCCAGCAGGTGGGCTGCTCATAAATATTTACCATTTTGTTGGTTCTGAAAAGCACTACTATTTTGAAACAAAATTTCTTCATTTGAAAACTTTATTACAACTTAGTCCAGAGTATCTTATAAATACAACAAATACAATCTAAAGGAACTAGTACATTTGCATTAAGGAACCAGTGTTAGGATTCTTCCACAATAGGGTTAACAATTATGTATGTTCTCATTAAATGGTACCACACTTTAAGTAAATAATACTTCTAAATTCAAAACCAAGTCACTATTGTAACCTATAATACAAAAAATTTTAAATTGTTAGCCAGAAGGATTCTGAAATATGAAGATACTATCAAAAAGTGAAAGTTAACAAAGTCCTAGGAGTTAGGAAAATAGTCAAGAGACTCAAATGTAGGAGAGAAGTAAGTTCCTACTGTGAGTGGCACTGGACAAAAAAAAGGGAAGAAGGTCCCAGAGTCAGTAAAGTAGCAAGAATTTAAAGTGTCAGAAAGGAAAAAAACTAATTACTAAGACGTAATCACAATTACTAGCTGATGTAACGCTTCTGGTGTACTATAAAAGCCAATGCATAGTATAAAATTGTCTACCATCTGAACCTCAAATGAAATGTAGTATACTGTCAAATGCAAAAGTTCTATCAATTGTTTCCTACAAAAATTCTATCAATTGTTTCCTACTTAACTGTTTTCCTTTATTATCAGGAGGGGTTCAATTATGGGCAGTGAGAAAGGGCAAGGCAGATAAAACTTACAAATAACTATACTAAAAGCTTTCAACTTGGTATTTTCTATGATAATCTCTTTGGTTTGATAATGGGAGTCAAATGAAAAATATTTTCTCTTCATGGAAATACACACATTATGAATACTTAAGCTATGATATATTTGTTTCAGAAAGCCATGAGATATGTATATATCTGAAAGGTGTGATAAAATATATATCATTACTTATGATTTTTAAAACTACACCATATAAGAGTACTGGACATGGACTCAAGAAATACTAATTTCAAATCCCACCTCAGTTACCTATGTAACTCTAGGAAAGTCATTTAACCTCTATTAGCCTCAGTGTCTCCATTTGTAAAATGGGGATAATAACAGCATTTACTTCCCAGGCTTGTTTGGAGGATCAGAGTGAGATAATATAAGAACAATATTTGGCAAATCTTAAAGCATTCTACAAATGCTAGATTTTTGTTTTTAAAGAGAGAAAGGATCACAAACATTAACTTCCTGATGTAAATGTCAGACACCATATTGGTTTTTGAAGTGAGTTATTTGTCAAAGACCATATAAATCATTTGATAAAAATCCCAGACATGATCTAATTTTTTTTTATCCTAACAAACAAAAAAAATTTTTTTTTAATTTTAAAGAATTACAATCTAGGTGCCTCCCATTTGTCATTTCCCTTTCCTTCCCCAAAGACACTATTTCAAGACAGTATACTAGAAAGAAACTTATCACAGTCACTATTCTATATACTTAGCCCAAGCAAGGGAATAAGAAGCTCATAAAACTACACTACATAAAAGGAGCTATACTGTAGTACAAAGGGCCATGTACTGGAAGTCAGAAAACTGT